TTTGTTGTTTCTCACTTCAAAGGTCAAAGACTCCAGGGCAAACATGGGGAAAAGAAAAAGATTTATTCAGACATCCAGAAAGGTGGTGGTGGGAGGCTTAATATACATGAAGTCCTGGGTTCAAGCCCTAGCACCACCTAAATTGGGCATGGTGACACATGTTGTCTGTAATTCCAGTACTCCAGAGATGGAAGCAGTGGTTGGAGAGCATCAGAAGTTGAAGGCCATTCTCTGCTACACAACAGGTTGAGGCCAGCCTTGGATACATGAGTCTCCTTCTGAAAAACAAAACCAGCGAAACAAAGACAGAAGCTAGGACCAACAAACCCCATGTTGTTTTGCAGTTGTAGGCCTGGGGCTAATATAGAGAGTTGTAGAGAAGCAAAGATCTACACTGACTGCTGGGGCTTGCTGCCTGTGGGTCACTGGAAGGTCCATGCAGTGCTTTGAATGCAAATGTTCCCTATAGACTCACAGAACTGAACATTCGGGCTCCAGTTGGTGACACTGTTTAGAGGCTATTATGTACCTTTAGGAGATGTGACCTTGATGAAGAAAGTATGTTACTAGGTACAGGCTTTGAGAGTTTATAGCTTTGCAGTTAGATCTCCCTACTATTTCTTGCTCCAGCCATTATAGACTCTCCCTTTGAGACTGTAAGCCCAAATAGTCTTCCTTCCTTAAGTTGCCTCGATTTGTGACATTTTATCACAGCAACAGAAAAGTAACTAATATACAGCTTAACTTCTCCTAATCTAAATTGCTGGTTAGAACTATTTAATAGTTGGTGTCTTTTGGGTTGTTTTCAGTTAATCATTACGATACAAAGCCACCAAAGCCACCCTTTCCCTTGAGAACAGGAGAAGATAAGCCGGAAGGCTACCTTCCCCTGGAGGACAGGGGAGATAGAAAAATGTAATCTTCCCATACCCAGTCTTGAAATTCCCCTTCCCCCACGACAGGGAGATCACTGAAAGGCAACAGTCATCAGATAAGACAGTGAGATGCAACTTTTCACTTTAGAATGTTTCAGCTAGGTGAATCAATCATCCCCAGAAAAGACAGTGGGAAACCAACATCACATGTTTGCCCTGTGAAACCTCCCCAAATCAATGACTTTTTAAGTCAACTAAAGACAAGTGGAGCAGGATGACTTACTAGATCTTCCCTCAGTAACATCCCTGCAGAAGAGTCATAGAGAATGTTAACCACATCGTTGGCATAGAAGACGAGGAGCCTGAGAAACAGAGGGCTGCATCTTCAAACACTGCTATTTATCTAAGCATCTTTACCTTCCTCCAGAAAACAGCCTTGCAAACTATCGGAATATATCTACCCTTTCACTTGCACAAAATAATTTGGGCATTAATCGGTTTTCAATTCTGCTTTTTGTTTAACGCTTGTCATTATTAGTTTTTCTTCTGAGACATTCCAAGACCTTCCAAAAATCTATACTGTTCAAAAAGAATGCAAGTTATGAAAACAAACCTTCCAGGCCCTCCAGGGCACTTGACAGAGTGCTGAAGGAGAGCCAGCTGGGTGCCTCCCCTCATGAGCCTCTTTGGCCCAAAGCCTTGTGTGTGGTATTGTTTTTAGGAGATTCCTGAGCTCCTCTTGGGGATATCAGGGCACATGCTCAGGGCATGGGGGTGGGGGCTTCTAGGATTGGCAGCAGGGGGATGGGTGTGGAATTTGATGCTAAAGAAAATAAGTCCTCTGCAGAAGGGGAGACATGATGAGAGCTGTCTTCAACTGTCTAGAGAGCCATTCTGAGGAAGGATGCACACCTTTGAACCCTGGGACTCCAGAAGATGGAATCGGGAGCGGCAGGCAGAAGTCGCATGGATGCTGGTTCTGGCTGCATCTCAGAAATACTTGCTAATGACAAAAGTGAGTCAATAAAGAAAGGGACTCTTCACAGTAAACTCATGGTGGCTGTAGTACTCATGTACACGCCATGAATGTATCTAAGCTCTGACTTGCCAGACAGTTAGCATAGATGGTCCTTCTAAAGATCCTTCCTTCATACGTCCTAGTAATCTCTAGGAATACATGGACATCATCGAATTTAGGAAGGCTCAACTGCATTAGGCTTCAAAATGAGAAAATCTCATTGCTATAGTACAAAGCACTTTGGAATTCTGATTATATTTCCTTCTTCAACCTTGAAGCTTTGTGTAGATGTCTTTTATCTCATGTGACATGGTAGGCAAGGCATGATTCTCCTCCACTGATTGAGAAAGAAAGACTACTAAAATTTGTGACTTCCTGGAGGTCTTACTGAATTTATATAGGGCATTTGAAGCACAACACAGGTTTCCATAGTCACAGCCCCACTCCAGTGACAGCCTATACAATACAAAGCATGCTCTATTGCTTTGGGATAGAAGCGGCGCACTTAACCAATTTGGAAATCCTCTCACTGTGTTTAGATGAGTAGAGAATAGAATGTGAACTTTCCTAGTTCAAAGTCTATTTCCTACTGGGAAAATGAGACATCTGGTTCATAGTTGAATAAGATGGATCCTGAGGGATCTTTGACAATGAATTGCTTTTCCAAATCTGCCTTTTGGTCATTTACACATGCATGCTTCAGAAACATATGGATTGGATGTACAAAAACCTGAGGATGCTGTTTGACTGGTGAACAATGAGGAAAAATGGGGCCAAGGGACTTTGAAGTATGTGCTTCTCAGCAGCTGCTGTGTTCTTAGCACCTGTTGTTGGGTGACAGTTAACAAGACAGAAAAGGGCCAAAAATAATCAGGATTTTGGTAAGATGACTACACTGTTACGTGGTCTGATATCCCAAAACTATAAAGGAGGTCCAGAGACCAGATTATTAGCAGTGAACCCATCACCTTTTGGAAAATGGAGCAGTTCCTTCTACTGTGCACACTGATTTTTACAATAGAGCATTTAAGTAAGAGAGATGAGAACAGGAGGTATATAAAATACTTAGATGCAACCCAGCTACATTACGTGTTATTAGATGGATTTTATGATTGGTCTTCTGAGGCCATCCATTCTGCATTAAAGCTGTCTGAAACAAAGATGTGCCCACATCAAAAGCTTTAGAATTACTGATCCTGTCTCTGAGCATGCCTCTGTATGCTGCATGTGTGCCTGTGTTTATGTGTGTGTGTTGGTTGAGTGCTCATCAATAGAAACTCATAAGCACAGCCTTTTACTGCCCATAAGTTGCCAGCTTTGTAGCCAGACTGTCAGTCTTGGTTTCTGCCCACATGAAAAAAGTGTCATGAAGACTCCAAACGAGGCTGTACCTAGTGGCCCTGAGAAATCAAATTCTACAATTCTAAGGAGGCAGAAAGCAGACTGGTTGCAAGAGTATAGAAACACTGAAAAGTATTTCAATACAAAAGTTGCACTAGAGGGTTAGGTCTGGTGGCAAACACCTTCAACCCAGCACTGGGGACATCGACAGTCTCTATGGTTTCTAAAATACCCTGGTCTACATAGTGAAATCTAGGATAACCATAGCTATATGGTGAAACTCTGATTCAAAAGAAAGAATGCTTGTTTCTAACTAGCTCTTATAACTTAACCCATTTTTATTCATCTGCACGCTACCAAGTGGCTCATGGCTTTTACTCTCCTCCTGTATGTTCTGCTTCCTCTCTGTCTCCTCTGGTATCTCTCCCCTTCCTAGGTTCATCTCCTCTGCCTGGAAGTCCCTCCTAAACTCTTCCTGCCTAACTTAGAATTTGGAATGTAGTGGGCCCATGGTGGTGTATGCCTTTAACCCCAGTACTAGGCAGTTAAAGGACAGCTTCAACTGTTGTGAAATAATCTTTTTGCACACTGTGAAGATGCATCTTTGCCAAGGTGCCTTCTAATTGGTTCAATAAAGAGCTGAATGGCCACTTGGTAGCATGTAGATGAATAGAAATGGGTTAAGTTATAAGAGCTAGTTAGAAACAAGCATAAATTAGGCTAAGCTTTACAGTTAATAAGAAGTCTCCATGTCATTATTTGGGAGTTGGTGGTACAGAGAAAGCCTGATACACTCATCTGTACATAGTGAGTTCCAGGCCATCCAGAGCTACATAGAAAGACCCTATCTCAAAAGAATATTTCCATTGTAATCCTGGACTTCCAAATGATTCAAAGCTATGCTTCACCTGTGAAGGCAGGAGCAGACAACATATTTTTTCCCTTTTTGTTTGTTTTGTGTGTTTGAGACAAGGTCTCACTCTGTAACCCAGGCTAGTCTGGAACTCTCAGCAATCCTTCTGCTTCCAACCTCTTCAGTGCTAGGATTACATATATGGACCACCATGCCCAGCTCAAGAACACAGCATTAAAGTGTTAGCATAATTTCTATCTTGTAAATCTTTAAGCGTATGGTTGTTGGAACTCCCTTCCTTCATTTGTCCTGGACCTCAGATATGTTGGGGGTGTGCGTGTCTGCCACAGTGGCTTCGCGATACAATGAAGGTGGTGGGCTGCTGCTCTCATTCAGGCTTGCACTTCTATTTGAGTCTAAATGTGATTATGTTAAGTCCTACCCATCTCCCTGATACGGAATAGCAAAGATGGCTGAAGTTTAAGTTAATCATCCTCCACGGCATGAGCTCCCTTCTACCTCCCAGAGGCACACAAATACCCATGATGACACAAGGTGAGCTTTGATTGGTTTTGCCTGGGGAGACAATACCTGGATGACTTGCTAAAATTTTCTTTTGTTTGGGGTACTGCTGAACATCAAAGCCAAGGTTTAATG